CCCACGCTCACTCTGAGTGAGCAGACTGACGAGCATCTCCTTGGGGTCAGCATCCCCAGAACACCGCCTCTGGGGGCCTGTGGGGAAGGAGCTTTGGGATGTGGACAGCCACTGCCGCTCACTGCCACATAAGACTCGGAGGACGAGCCTGCGCGGCCTCCCCGACTCACTCCGCCCAGCAGCTGCCTCCGCCTCCGTTCCTCCTTCCACACAGAGCGCCTGGGACTCGGTTTAAATGCTGCTCCAGCCCAGGGAGCTCGTTTGTCACGTGCGGCTGGAACCCCCTGCGGAGCAGTTCCCCCCCCCCCCGTGAGAACGCATCTGCATAACCGGGAGACCAGGAGTGAACGCAGACCTCCCCAGGCCCCAGAGGTGTCACCTAACGTCCATCCTTACCAACCATTCACAAGGCGCAGACGGTGTGGAGCGCGTGCAGCCGGGCCGCGGGCCTGGGCCGCTTCACCGCATTTGTCGACAGAGATGCCCAGGCTTCTCTCCCTCGTCCGTGCCCCTGGCAGTTTACAAGGAGGGCTAGGCAGGGTGTCCCCAGACACAGGGGTGCTGTGGCCTTTCCTTCCCCATGAGCTGGATCTCCAGAGACGCCGACGCACGGTGACCTGCCTTGCTCGCCCTTGTACTCCGCAGGGGCTCACTGCCCGTGGGTCCCGGCGAGCTCGCCCCCGCCTCGGCAGCGCTGCCCCCCACCCCGGGGTGAGCTGCTGGAACTCCCTTCCCCTCGGGGGGCGGATCCGCCTCTGCCCTCTCTGCACGCGGGGCTCGTTCCGCCCCTCGAGGGTCGGCCCGCACCGTCTTCCAGCGGCAGCCTTGCAGCTGTCGATGGCCTCACCTTGCTGACCCGTGCGGCCGGACAGCGGCGGTTCCGAGACAGTGGTTTCCGGCAGCATCTCGGCTGCTCTGCGTCCGCGGACACCAGCCAGGCCCCTTCTCAGGGGCTCGAAATTCCCGTGCGGACGTGCCCAGTGTGCGGTGGGTGGGACCATCCCTCCCGCACCCTACATGCTACCGTTTCAATCGTTTGGCCTGAACATTGAACG